CCACTTCTGGTTACCATTTCCTCGTTCATTATCAAATCCATGGCTATTAAGCTTCAAACTCCTTGTCGCAATCAAAGCCGACACAAATATCGCGCTCCAATCGCGCGTTCTTCCATACCGTAGTTGTTTTCGCTGCGGGTGCGCCAGCCTGCCGCGCGATGTCGCGTTGCGAAGAGCGAAAAAGTCGCGTTCTGTCCTAAGTACCCACACCCGCGTTGTCACTCGTTGGGCATTTGACAACACAATCGACGACACTGGCAGAATTTGCGAGCAGCTGCTAACCTTTCGAACAATTCGGATGATAGGCTAGCGACTACAGTGATTACTTGGGCATCGCTGGGTTTGCTGGCGCTTTGGTCAAATCATTAGCGAATCTTACGGTTGTATTTGACTGTCCTTCATCATCACAGTTTTTTGTGGGCGCGGGTTAATTTCCACTGCCCTGTATACAAAATTTCTAAATTCCTCCTGTTTTCTTCAGCGAATTCACAAGCTCATGTTTGTTGTTCAGGGTAGCCAGTACCGTAGAAAGCAGCACAGCTCGTGCTCTTGTCACAGCTAATTTCGATGAGGTAAGTGTACATGATCTTATCAACTTATCACTACGCTAGCCCAAGTCAAATTTTATACTGTCAGAGTTACAACAATGTATTTGTGATTGGTCACCGTCAGCGTTGCGCTTGGGCCGTATATGCTATCTCACCTCCATGGCAGGGTCAATCGTCCGTTGTTCCAGTTCGGAAATTTTAAACATTTCTTAGAAAAAGTTCGGTGCGACCCCTCCTCATTCCTTCACCACCGACCACCACCCTCACCATCAATCACCAAGGCTGTTTCTAATAATAGTATTTCTGATTTGCGAGACCAATTCCGCCTGCTTCTCCATCAAAACGGTTAGGGGGATTGGAGGGGGAGGTGAGTTCGTCTCACGGGCGATTCCTCTAGCACCTCATGCTCCTTCTTCAAATTTTCCTCAAACTTCTGAAAAAAAAACTCGTCTTAAACGGTCCTCTCTACCGCCGTCACTCCAGAAGTACATCTCCCTCTGAAAAACTCTAATACGACCTCCTCGTTGAGAAAAGCGCAACGGACGGCTGACCCCACCTCATAGTGGCACTCCCCTTCATCGGTACTATTCTCCCTCTGCCCAGGGGAGGGGAGACGGGAGGCTGACCCCGCCTCATAGTGGCACTCCCCTTCATCGGTACTATTGAGGCTGACCCCGCCTCATAGTGGCACTCCCCTTCATCGGTACTATTCTCCCTCTGCCCAGGGGAGGGGAGACGGGATTCGCCTCGCCATGACTCACCATTGACCGGTTGGGTGCTGTATCAACCATCTGCCGTTGGGCCACTGTATCCTTAGTGAGGTAGCATAGATGTAACTGTCTTGGAGGTAGAAACGCAGAGTAAGGCGAATACAATGACGCAACTCTGTCTGTCTCAACCTTAAGGCAACATCAAGGGAGAAGGGCGTCTCCCCAGGGTAAGGATAGCATACAACCCTTAGTGTTCCTTACAGTAGCGGCTATTTGATCATCTTATGGTGGTAAGTCTAGGGTAGCCGATATGTTCGCGCTGCATTACAATCATGATATGGGACATAAATTGGTATTGAAAAACATAAATTGGTAGTATTTGCAGGTGTAGGGTAAGGGCTATTGAGTTCTGAAGATCGATACTAAACGGCATACTTGCCTGTTGCGTCTCCTAATAGAGCCGTACTCGCCTCTCCAACACTTTTCATTTCAGATTTGTGGTCATGCAAAAGCGGCAGCGTTCAGTTGCAATCGGTCGGTTCCAGTACATCAGACTTTGCTTGAACTCTTTCCTCGTTTATCAGCTTGGGATCAATGTGATCCAGCACTGTGCAAGGTCATGTTCGAGCATGCAAAAAATATGTAAGTTTTCCCCAGCTATATTAAAACTTATTTGTTAACGATAGAGTGATTGCCGCTTGCAGTTCTTATGCAATCTTTCAATCTTGCATGGGCATTAATATTTTAGAGTCCAGAAGAATGGCAATGCGCTTGTGGCTCTCGGTTTGTTGATGCTTCAAAACCCAGAGCGATTCAGAGGCAATATTGGGCAAATGATGATGGTGGTAACAGACATGCTGAACACTGCTGTTTCCAAGTGGGTAATTCCGACCTTTTTTCTGCTCCCTCTTGAGAGATCTCCAAAATGAACTCACACGCTGACTAGCTAATGTTTTGAGCAAGTCATTAAAAAGTGGTCTTCATGCGTGCTATTCAAACTGTTTCCAAGCCTTTTGTGTAGATGTGCTCTTTTCTGAGCGCATTTAGACTACATGTATCCATTGGCCTTTCCTAAGTAAAAGTTGAAAATGAATAAGGCTCCTTTTTTTCAGGAAACGTGCTCCTGAGCCAGCTGTTTTCATATTTCTGACATTATTCGTCAAGGCGTACAAGCAGTCAGTGATGAATGAAATTAAGCAGCTTTTGGGTCTGCTATTCAAAACGGGTCTATCCAAAGGTGGGTTCACTTTTTTTAGAGGAAGGGTTTCATTGCTTGTGGCGTTGTTGCAAACCAATTGGCTCCTCACGCGCATGAGAGAGCTCTCAGCCGTATGGGCCTGCATCCACAAGGTTGCAGTTTTGATGTCCCTAGATTTGTAATCCATCTGGAAAATTAAATCAATGAATTGAGCATATCGGCAGTGTAAATGATAGAGTAGTGATAGAATGGATGGATACACAGCTGGCAGATGAGAGTGAAAAATAGATGCGCTCAAGTTCAAGGTCGCGTGACAGCATAACCCAACCGAAATGGGCTCTGCAAAACTCCGTATATAACTTATGGTCGATGACCAACTCTCGAATGGTTAAGAAAGGAGAGAGCGTGGAGCTAATAGGGGAGTGGGCGTGAGTTTCGGAAAACCCATCCCGAATATGTATTTGCTGCACGCCCAGTACGTTTTTCGTTGTGATTTAGACTCTTAAGTGAAAGACGGTGCGCGTCACAGGTAAGACTTCTCATTGTTCGCTCGTCGAAGCGCGAACTGATCTATGGAATATAAATTAATGCTAGCTTATTCCTTTGGACACAGGTTTGAGTGACTTGAAATCCACTTCCCACCTTGTTGCTGGCACGGCCTCGAGTTATCGCCTCCATGCTATAGTTTGGAAAATAAAGGCAAAGCCTATCACTTTTTCCCAACAGTTAGGTTATTTAGTATATTGCAGTACTATGGTGTCGACGCTGCTTCTAAGAAAACAGAGGGCATTATCAGAAGTACGTGGGATACTTATCAATTGTTCACGCGTCTGCACAAGTGTATGCATGAGATGTGCATGTCATAGTCAGTCAAAACTGCAAGATGACGTAACAGATGGATTAATTGAAGGGAAGGTTGTAATATAGGATTTTAATCGGGTTGTCGCAGTTTCGTGGGGTCCCCGGTGAAATTGGATGCCGAATTCTAGATGTAAAACTAATCTGTGCATTAAAGGTTGTGTTCTGCCGAGTAAGCTGGATCCACCGAAAAAGCCAGTACTTCCTTCACAAACATTACAGGTCAGGATTATAATGGATTCAAATTCAACATGGTGGTTCGAAAGAAAGTAATATTATTTTCCGTGACTCACATTTGCAGGTTTCAAATGTTCCTCTCACAATATTAGCGTTGGATACGCTTGGCGAGTTCGATTTTCAACGGCACTATTTGGAAATGTTCATGCAGTTCATTTCTGACGTAGGTATTTTGACACTCTATGTGTTCAGTACTGTTACAGAACTAACATTTAACAATTCAGGGATATCTCTTGTGTGACTCAGTAGCGGTGCGTTTAGCGGCCGTCAGGTGCTGTGCGGCGATATCCAAACCGTTTGTGAAGGTGAGCGAAAGGAAGTGGCTAGCGTCAACTTTTCTTTCTCCCTGATTTTTCCTATATTGAGCAAAGACCGGGAATTCATCTCTGTCGGAACAAAAACGATGTTCTATCATTTTGTAGTGTTGTCACGGTGCAGTAGCCCCACTTCTAATTGCCTAGGTGTATGAAAAGGTGCATCGTGAGCATCGCCAATGGGTATTAGCTCTTATTCATGGAGTGCTGAGAAGTCTTGTCAGCGCTGGAGTTGTTGATCCTCGTAAGTTCATTTGTTTGTTTATTTTTTCTGCATTAGGTGATATTTCAGACTCATTTTTGATTTCCTTTGATGATTGCTTGTTTAAGAAGTGGTTTATAGAGGTTGCAAATAAGAATAAGTGAAAGATTGAGTGCTATTTCGTAAAGATGTATAATGAGCGATGTGTGAGGTTTCCGAAATACTTGAAGTAAAAGTCTCTCGTTCCAGAGTTGGAAGTGCGGTTATGCGTTATGCAATGCTTTTGTGAAGCAGACCGCGCTTTTCTGTCTCATCTAGCACAGCCGGAAATGCTTCAGTTACAGTTTATGAGCTTGCATGACGAGAAACTGGAGATGCAGGAGGTATGACGTTCCGCGGAGAGGGCTTGGTTCAGTGTCACTCGCAGAAATACTTTTGGCGAACTTTTGTTCTATCCTTTTTCTCGGACACAAGTAGTTTCATTTATAGGCTGCTGTTTGTCTTCTTGGTCGTTTATCTGAGCTTAATCCTGCTTTGGTGTTGCCGAGAATGAGACGGGTATTGCTTGAGACATTGAGTCAGTTGACAAATAGTGGTCAAGCCAAGTAAGTGGCACCAAAACTGTTCTCGTTTCAAATTTATGTCACCTAATAATGGATGAATCATGTATTCAGGCTTGAACAACACAGTGCTCGCCTGCTCACTCAACTCACACGCCAAAGCCCAAAGTTCATGCGGCCCTATTTAGGACCCCTTCTTCAGGCACTACTTCCGAAGCTGAGAAACGAAATGAAGGTACGTGTCCGTCAAAGTATCTACGCTTTCTTGCTCTGGAATGCTTAAGTTCAGCATGTCGATGTCACCGTTCATGTACTTCATGCCATTTCGGAGCTATGTGTAGTAGTTGGTGGAGCCGAGATTGTTCGAAACATCGATCCCATGTTCCAAAAGCTCACTCAGCTTATCAATGATTCGAAAGTTGGTTCAACGAGACGAAGAGGTTAGGTGTTTCCTTGCAGTCTTTTGTTCAACGGCATGCGCTTGTACGGGAATTTCTACGAATAGTTGAATGAGTCGTTAACTGAGAATTTTGGGTAAAATAAGCGGTAGAGCTTCTCACTTTTAGTCCTCCAAAGAAAGGGGGTCTGCTGCTGGAGACATCAGGGGATCCACTCATTTACAAGTTCTCGACTGAGTATAATATCTGAGGGTAATTACGATATTGAGGCGCTTTGATTAATAGATTACCCGATAACAGAGGAAAATAGGGGAAAGGAAACCACTTCCACTCTGATCGAATACTCATTAAGGCTGCTTTGCGAACAATAGGCAGGATTGCTCGTTCCACGGCATACGTTGTCGATCCTTACAAAGACTATCCGAATCTTCTCGATGATTTGCTGAGGTTCTTCTTTGGTTGAATTCGAAGGCTACTTGTGGTAATCTTCTTTATTAAGGCTCCCTGAAAGACGAAATGTCGTCGAGGATGCGCCGCCAGGCCATCAAAACTCTTGGAATCCTTGGGGCATTGGATCCGTACACGCATAAGGTATTCGCGTTTGTAAAGATTATCTATCTGAATTGGGCTATTTTCAAAGTTGGCTAGCCCTCGAATGTTTCTAGGTTTTCACGGGTGCGGTCCAATCGGCTACCTCAATTAGTACCGCACTATCGCTTCCAATGGCAAGAGATGCTGCCGATCCTAGACAAGGTATCTATTTGTTTTTATATGTTTTAGAAAATTGTGGTGGTTCTATACTTTTTTTCCTTACTTTCTGGTAGCGTTTCTATCAATATGCCCTTGTAATTTGTAGTGGACATAAGGGCCAATTAACAATCCATCACCTAAATGTAATTCGCATGACATGATTAAGAGCAGTGTGCTGCCTGTGGAATCATCACTCGCGCCCATTTCAAACGAGGTATTGTTTATTGGGAACCTGAATAGGCATCATCCTTTCAGTGACTTCAACGTGTTGTCCACAGTAGGCATCTGTTAACGCTAGACACGCATTTGAGTGGCTGCTCAATTCTATGTCGGGATTGAGTCAGATAAAATGATTCCAAACGGACTGCTCGAATCATTCTGTTTTCCTTTAATCTTTACATGTGGTCAGAATGTTGCAGTTCAGTCATTTTCTCTTCTTCAGATATAATTCAGTGGTATAATTATGAGAAGTGCACTTTGGAAGAGTTCTATCCTGCAATCACAATTGCAAATCTCATGGTGATGGTACGATTTTCCATTCTTGATAATATTGTGAATTCTATATTGAGCCTGATGTATTCAACATTTTCATGACAGGTCCAAGATGAGGCGTTTACACAGTACTACAAGGAGATCGCACAAGCTTTGCTCACTATTTTCCGAAGTCTCGGCGATTCTTTTCCGCAATATGTTCAGCAGGTAAGTAGTTCTCGGTGGATTTTCAGTCAGTTCTAAAATAGAGCAACAGTGAATCGTTCTGGTCCTGACTCACACTTAGACACACCCCATCTTTGCGGAGTACGGAGGGGACCTCAGTTAAAACAATAGTTAATATGGAAGAATAATTTGCAGCAGGTGCATTTTTCTTGAAGTGGTGAGTTGCGTTTGACATATTCAAACAGTTAATCTTTCTTCTAACCTAGAACTGCAGTAAATTCTGGAGTTTTCTTGTCGTCATTGCCCTTTGATTTCTCGATCTGATGCGGCGCAAAGCATCGTGTATGGGAATGTTTTAGGGTCAGTAAGCAATCTCCCTTAACGTTAGTTTCCACGCGATTTCCTTCGCTCTTTCTTTTGTGCCTCCACCCTAATTACCAGCTACCTGTATTTGAGACAAACCCGTACATTCAGCTCCCCACGTTGTGGAGTCCAGTGAAATTTCTGCTAAAGTCTGACCATATCGCTTGTTATCCCTCAAATGAAAATCCTGTTCCTACCTCTTTTAATCCAATGGAAATCTTAGCCTCCCTCAATGCGAGCCTCCTCCATCTGACGAAAGTGAATACGACACCTACAAATTTTGCTTAACGAGTGGTTGACCCCGGAACGATTTTTGCAGATTCACAGAATACTCACAAATCCATTTCCTCGTTCGCTTTTAATGGTTTAGTACTCGCAACATGGCTTGCTATACTTTCGAATTTTACAGTTTTTGTTTTTGCAACCTAGCCTTTGCAGGTCGTGCCACGTTTGATCGAGGTGACTCGTGCGTGTCGTGGCCGTCCGTCTCATCGGGAGTTCTTCTTGAGGCAGCTTGCTAGCCTTGTTGCCATTATCAAAGTTCATGCAAAGCCGTACATGAAACAGATTTTCAGTCTGATTGCCTGTGAGTTTTTCTTTCTCATTCCGTAAGGTGACCATGTTCATAGTGAGTTCCAGTATTCTAGGGAAGCCCGTACATAGTACAGGTTTGCCTAAAAGCATATTACTGTAGCACATATGTAGCATTTTCAAGTTTCTGTTAAAAGTCAGTAGTTTGCAGGACGCATGGAGTGAGGATCACAGTGTCAAAGTGACAGTGGTGAGCGTACTCGAACAAATTGGAACCGCAATGGGTCAAGAGTTTGCGCCTCATATAGCTGAGCTTATTCCTTACTTGCTACGGGTTGTACAGACCGATAAGAGCGAAGAGCGAAAGCTCACTGCACAAGTTAGTTTTGGGATCTCCTTGAAAAGATGTTCACTTTTTCTTCGTATTTCTTGAATACGAAGAAGAAATCTGTCTTCGGGCTATTCTTAATTAGCACCATAGTTACTCAATAACACCTGTACAGGTTTTGTCGTGTGTTCGTTCGTTGTCTGGGTGCCTTACACCACATCTCCATTTGGTCTTACCCCCGGTGCTCATGATACTAGACGATTCTGCGGTGCCGACACCTGTGCGACAGTCAGCCTTAGGTCGGTAAATTGCACTGTAGTTTTATCGATTTTTGTTTTTTTTATTAACAATCCTCGAATCTTACTGTTTCACTGAAGCCGAAGGCTTTTCAGCTTTCTCGCCTACTCAGCATATTTAATAATTCGAAGTCTGATTTCGTATGTCTGATTGTCAGATAAACGTCTGATTTCCACAGAACCTCCAACGATGGCTCACTTGAAGCGAGCAATACCCTAATCCTGGCGAATATTGCAAATTGTGTTATCATGATCGTGAAATATCTGTCTTTCAAGGTACGGTTCTGCACCTGACTCGATGTGACGACCTATCCGACTACGCACCACGACTCATGCAAACATGGCAAAGAGGTATCTCTGTAGTCGCCCTTCAACCTCAGCTACTAGAACTGTTGGTGGAAATAGTCAATCAGGTCCGTTTTCCACGTTAAGCCTTCTTTGTTGCTGGAATTCAGGTGCAATTTTTGTATTCGGGCGTAGGGGTAGGATATTACACACCAATTCATGTGTGTTCATCATGTGTTTCCAGATTTCTTTCTATAGAATCGATTTAATTCAGATGTGGAAGCATTTCGAGGTGTTCCGTAGAAGTGTCGACGCCAATCTGAGGAAATACAACTTGAATAGTGGGGAAATGTACGAGAAATACATAAGTATGGTTTCTTTTGATTTTTTAATATTCTGGTTGTTTTCACCAGTTTGCGCCACACACTGTGCGCGCACCACACTTTTCTGCGACGATATGGAAACGGAAATTCTCACGTTCCGTATACCAGGACTCTTTCAAGCTGAACTGTATGCGCTTCCTTCTCGGTCTACGTGTTATGGTTAGAGCACGAGGAACACTGGACTCTTGTCCGCCCATAAAGAGCTCTTTTCTTCCAAGCCGGCCTCCCACTTTTTTTTTCCGTGCTCCGAACTGTCTGAACCGAATTATAAAGCCTTGTGGCAAACACCGCCCACTTCGGTACATACGCCGACCAGTGACAGTTGACCTCCTTTCCTTCACAAACCTCTATTCTCTTTTTTCCCGGTCTCTGGACTATCTCTAAACCGAGCTATGACGTTTTGTGGCCATCTCCATCCACTCAGTAATAGGAGTTGACCTGCTCTTATTTGCCAACTTCTAGTATAGGTTACCTTGTTGGGTTTAATGTAAGTCCTTGATTCGACGGTACGAATTTCCATCAGAAAGCAATATTTTTGCCACGATTCACTCGTTACGCACCTGTTTTCATTGTCTTCCTCAGTATTGTTTATCCTGCTTGTTCATCTTTGGTTGAATACAGGTAAACGTCATCGTTTCCAGTTCTTTTTTTTTTCAGAAACCGCTCAACAGGCGATGTTACATCCAGCTGAACGGCCAGGGAAACGTCGTGGCACTGGCGCAGTTCCGCCGGAGAGGATTAATGTCTCGCATACCATTACTAAAGTCTGCAGCGAAGAACATGGATCAGATTCTAAGCTGGACTGTTAATAAGCAGAGGCTCAACACCGACGTGAGTCGCTAATAATAAGACCTAATTGTCAGACCTTTCGCAATGGAAATGAGATCAGAGAGATAATTAAAGCATATCACTGCCACATTCTGCCCAGCCATGTGTCAAGTTTTCGGTAAAGCATCTTTTGTACCCCTTCTTGAATTAGGTCCGTTCATTTCTGTTGTTTTGTTCGGGGACCTTTGCAAGTTCACTGAACAGTATCAAACATTTTGGGATGCTACCATTCGGCAAACCTCTTTTTCTGACCTGAAGAAACGAAGGAATGAGATCTTGGAGACCTCCATTCAACTTGATTCAATGGTCTTCTGGCCTATTTAAGAAAACACCGTGCTTGTTCTTTTGTTTCTACTTGTAACTCGGGTAAGAAATCCAATGCTTACCATTTTGATGTTAATGACTGGAATGTATATATCCTCAACTTTTTCGCAGAAATGCAAAGAAGGGAATTCGTGATCCATCAAAAGAACAAAAGGCTTGCTTATTTGATGGTTACGTTGAGTTTCATCAATCTAATCTGCATGGGGAATAGCGCTAATCTACCAGTCTTTGTTTGCATTCCATTTGAAGTCTCAATTCGTTCCATGTTGCATGGTTAAAATCTTCAGGCGGTAGTTCGAGCATGGGCGGTCGATTCGTTGGTGTCTAAGGAGGAATGGGCGCAGTGGCTGGTCAAATTACGTGTAGCTTTTATCAAGGTAAATCCTCATTTCTTGTTCGATTTCTCGCTGAGGGGGCAGTTCCTTGTTTTACTTGACAGCACCACTTTTAACTGTTCCTAGTGTCATTCTTATGCCGAGATGTTACAGTTGTGCAAGACTTTTTTATGTTTAGTCAGGCAGTTCAGCAGCAATCCGGGCAGCTGCGTCGCTGAGTGACCAGCATCAACACTTAGCAAAGTATGTTTACAACTTACTGAACACTTTTTTAGAAGCTGGTTAGATTTCGACAATAGAATCGTGTTAAAAATCTGATCGATAGGTTTTACTCACTTTCTTTAGTCCTTTATTTTTTCAATGACAATACCCCCCCCCCTCCAGTCAAGATCGTACACGCTTCAAATGACGGTGATCATCACACCTCTGTCGGGCACTTCTCTGACGTTTATTCTCCAGCAAGATCAGGATGAAGATTTTTGACCACTGTTTGGGGTCCATCTGTGCCGAAATATTCACGGCGCAGCGATTACCTCAAAGGACATAAGAACTTGTAATTGTACGGTAAGGATCGAGGTTGTAAGGTGCATGGTCTTCTTGCTTCTGTATCTCATCCAATTTTCGCTGAAGCAAGTGCTTAGTGAGCTGAAGCATTGCTGTGCAGCAAAGGCGTTTCCAAATTCCAGACGTTTTTCTCGAATTTCCGCTACCTTTTTTTGCGAAATGTTATGTTTGGAGAATCGTCGTCCATGACACTCTTAGATAGTAAATCTTAGTAGAGCCATCCTGCGAATCGCACAATAGCCCAACTTTAACTTGGTTGTCTAGTTTTCCATCAGCATTTTTCGCTGCCAGAACCGCATCTTGATTCAACACCCATCTTCGATAACCAAATCGATGGAAAATCCCTTCGATGTAGGTCGAATAGGAAATACCGGCATATTTCGACACGGCAGATTCTGGTGACGACGGTGGATCCACAGTCTGCGATGTTTGAGGTAATGGGGTTGGCGAGAGTTGCAGCAAGAGCATCGTAACCGGGTAGTCGGCCCTACCACCAGGGCTCTCTTTAATGCGCACAAGAATTCCGTTGCCAAAAACAGTCTGTTGACCATCTATCTTTAGATCTTTAGACTCCTTTCGCCAGAATTTTTTATAACAGTTCAACCAAGAGACATTCTTGGTGCTATTGAAATCTGTTCTTCCTTCATGGCAAGCCTTTAAGCTACAATACTATGGATCTCTTCAAAATGCCGGCTTCCAAAATGCCGCTTTCATGTCTGTGTGGACAGAGCTGACCGAGGAGTTACAGGACAAGCTTACTGGATCCTTACTGACAGTAGGTTATTGGTTCCAAAATATCTGATGATTTCGGCTACCTTGAACTCACGAATCGATTTTCATAGGCACTGGAGACCAGTAATCATCCAGATGTTATCCAGACTATTCTGAACTTGGCTGAATTCATGGATCATTCTGAAAGGGTGAGTGACACTTGCACAAATCCCAAGAAACAGCATGAATGTGAGTTTTCCTGGATAGCATTTCTTTGTTTAAGCCATCTTGAAATCGTCGAATCGATATCACCATCCCCTAGGAAATCTACGACATCCACGGTTGATCTGAGATCGTCAAGTTGTGCTGCAGCGCACATTTGGCTGTCAAATATGGATTTTGACGGCGCGGCTGAGAAGAAAAAGGGCGTAGCAAAAGGTAAGCCTGTTGTCACGTCAAGGCGGGTGGAGGCAGAAACCATCACTTCCTCCTAATTTAGCTTTACGTTGAATCAATATTCAGTAATTATCATATCGAGACACAATCGAAACAAACTTACATTAAGGGCAAGTGGCGAACAAATGGTTGGTCAGGAAAACGCCAATTTTCGTCATTGTACATTATCTTTATAGTGGTACTCCAAAAACCACATTTTAATCGATTTGTATACGGCCATATTGAATCTGCGAAGAAATCCACCGCAATTGCAAAAGTTTGCGTGCCTTCGAGAAAGCTACCGTGTCGATGATCCGATACGCTCAGTTGGTTTTTTTTTTTCGATTTTCATTGCTAGGTGCTTTTCTCGCTCATGGAGCTCAAAATACTCATGGACGACAAATCTTCAACCGCTGGGCTTGATATCATTCAAAACTCTAATCTCAAAGTCGGATAAATTTTCTACTTCGATATTAGAGTTTTGAATGAAATCAGCCCCAATTTGGAAAAGATTGAATGGTAGTGAATTCCATCATACCTATGGTGGTTATTGTCATGCTTGTCGATCATTTTGGCCAGCACATGAGGTGTTCCTAAAGCGTGGTCATGCTTGTTTCAAAAAAGACGGATTATTCTTATAGTATGCTGAAGTTTTTTTTTCCACGGGGGCAAGTGTCTTTCAGAACACTCAAAGCATCTTTTCACGGTATAAGCCTTGTACTTGAGAATTTGTTGTTGAGGGTCCTCTGCCGATTGCATACGATCGCTTGGGAAAAAGCGCTGAGGAGACGAAAGCCTATGCGAAGGCATTGCGCTACAAGGAGCTTCAGATTCACAAGCATCTCAACAAAGGCGGAGGAAGATTAACGACGGAAGATTGTCAAGCGCTCATCACGTGAGTTATCAAAATCTTATATTTTTCCGCTTGGAAATGGCTTATTTCAAGTGAGTTTATCGAGCGCTCTTAGGGTGACTAGCCATTTTTGAAGGTACGCAAATAAGCTGAACGTACAAGAAGAAGCCGCTGGTGTTGTGCGATATGCTGAACAACATGAAATGGTCATTCCGGTGAGTGTGGGTGTAGACTGATATGCCCTCCCTTTTTTCTGGCTGTCGTTATAAGTTCGATTATTTTGCGGAAATTTTACAGTTCCTGGTTTTAGATGCTTGGGCGATGGTACGAGAAGTTGAACGAGTGGGAGAAAGCTCTCGAAGCATATATGGTACGTTACCATGATTACTGAATTGCAGTTTATGTGGGGAGGTTGATTCGCTTCAAGGTGGGCCACATGTCGAAGAAATCTGGGTGGAGCCACTTCCCTTAGAGGATGAATCACCCTGGTTACAGTCACTCAACTCATCCTCATCTGTACAGCTTCATCTCCCAGAGACTCAAACGCAACTCTCCCTTTAGAGGAGTTCTCGGTGTTGGTTCATCCTTCATCGACCTAGATCTCTTTCATATTTTAATCGGCGGTCCATTCGTCACTCTTTAGCCCCCTCCGGTCCAAGTGTCGGATAGTTAGGGGTGCCTGCGTGGGGATGGAAGGGCTCAGCTGGGGGCTGCAACTGAGGAGTCTCACACTCACAAGCAGTTCAAAAAGGATGGGCTAGTTGACTCAAATTTCTCACGAAGGAGGGACATTGTTTGTGCTGGGGGGACTGCAAGTAGGATATTCATTTGTGCCGTATCATCATGGTGAATGAGAGATTATATTGGCTGTTCGGAAAGTTTCCGCCGATTCTGACCCTCAAATTCTAAAGCGCATATATCGGTTCAAACAGAAAATTTTTCGAAACCTAATCGAAAATTTTTCAAAAATCAGAAAATTCATCGGATACAAACTTTTACAATTCCTTTAACTTTGCCCAAAACAAGGATGTCTGATAGATAGAGATTTTGGAAGTGCCTGAGTTCTATGGGCGAAGGTCGTTTCACCACCATGTTGGGTTTCAACGTTTGATCTTTTGAAAAGACTATCCAGATGGCTGGAAAAGTGGCAGTTGGTAGGCAAGAGGTCTACTGTGCAAGTTCGCAGCACAGTTTTGTAGCTCAGCTAGTTCACTTGTGCACGGCTGGAATTGCAAGATGGGGCTGCGCAACTGTGGGAAGGGAGTCGGCGGCACTCAATTTGTCGGCTTATTTGGATGTTCTTTCACGTTTTCACACCCCTATATTTAGGAACCCTACCTCAGTTACGCTTGTTCAAGAATTAAGGAGCGCCTTGTCAGCTTCCACGCCAGATATTTATTTATTTATTTATTTATTTATTTATTTATTTATTTATTTATTTATTTATTTATTTATTTATTTATTTATTTATACGTCCAAATGAGACGCGCCAGTGAATCCAGTATGCGAAATCAATGCAATTATTAAGAGAAAAAAAGCAATGAAAGGCTGATCTAAGGAACCAGCAGTACCCATACGACTGAGAAGGTAAACCTGAAGTGAATGTGTTCGAGGCAAAAATCATAGGAGGAATGATCATCAGGGGCTGCGAAGACCTAGGCCTAACTGAGGCAGCAATGGTGTGATATCAGGCAATTACCTACACCAGTCGGCTATGGTGTCCTTTAGTGCCACAAGGGGTCATAGGCACTTGCCGGGACTTCGGCACACGGGTATACCGACCACCCTCGTGGACCCGGCAAGCTAGGTAAAGGCCCAGACAACAAACCATGCATTCCCAGAACAGGCGTGGACTTCAACTTAAGAAAGAAGATGTAGAAGGAGCATACTTAAAATCAGTCCTCAGCACCTACGGACCATCATCTCATCCTTGATCACTAGAAAGAGGGGTGTAGTGTTGGAATCAGTCTGACGTCAGTCGAAGGAACTGCTAAATCCCTTGACCAGTCAAGAGCTAAAAAATCAAATGCTCAACAGCAAAGACATCAAAACAAATTAACAACTGTGTCGACAGAATATACGACTGGAGAAGCATGACAAACAGAACAGAGAGCGAACATAGTCATGGGCTAGAACGAAGGATTTGAGTAGATTTCATAGCACCCTCAATTTATCTTTGTCAGTCTCCGATATCCGACCTTCACCCTTCTTTGAAACCTTTGCCATCGCGAGACAGACGTTTTGAACCACTACTGCACAGCGAATTCTTTGTGGATTTGGGACCAAATGCTCAGTTGATATCCCAACTTGCTTCAGTTTTTCCGACCAAATTTGAAGGGAAACAAAGTACTCGGGGCAAGCAGCCTGTCGGGTATGTTGTACTGAGCTTCCCAAAAAAATGAAAGTGTGTCAGGGTTAAAGTAACAGTAAATTTCGGACAAAACGAGAAACGCTGCTTCTTAATGATATTTAAATTGGTGGCAGTATCACAGAAGTGATTTAGAATCAAAGCGTTCAAAAATGAGTGAATGAAGCGGCGGAAACTTTCCAAACAACCCATTATGCAGTGACCTGGGTAGGTGGAAATCCATAAAGTTAAAGCGGACTGCCTACTATATTTTGGTGCTGGAATTCATTCCTATCAGTGGTCGTTTGGATAGCAAGTTGTTTTCCTAGAAAAGAGACCTCAAGCAAGCATTAAAAATTTTTAACGGAGCTATGAAATGCAGTATATATCATTACTTGAAGTCTGATCCGGAGCCGACGTCCGACGAGATGATCGGACATCAGATGCGATGTCTAGAAGCCTTGGGTCGTTGGAGTGAATTGAACGAGCGTGCTCGAACCGTACAGCGAAAAGACCAGAAGATCGCAGTGATGGCCGCTCGCGGAGCATGGGCAGTCGGTAATAACTTCATACTTTCTAATATCTTCTCAGAAAACCTTTTATCTTTGATTTCTTACTGTCAAAGAAGGTCGCGGTGATGTAATGGCTAGTAGTGTTGCATACCGCACGCACAATCTCTTAATTGAACACGCATCAAATCTTGTGTGAGCCAAGCAAGCCTGCCTTTCCTCACGGGTTACCATAATTGGTAAGGTTCTGGTAATACAAAAACACCGACTGTTTCGCATACTGTTAGTCCCCGCTATTGTACAGGTCTGATCATATTCAAAGGTCAACGATTTCAAATGGATGTACCGCCCAGTCCAAGAAGCGTATAATCAATGCGAAACATAATTATTGAACCCATAGCTTTTTTTGGAAGATCGGTAACACACGTGCCCAACTCATTGACAACAACCTAATCTTCCTTCGAAAACAGCAGGCTTTTCCGAGTGTCATTTCATGGGTTTCTACATTGCAATTGTGCAAAGTTCCAATTTTTGACCGGTTGTCCACAGAATTGGTTAAAACAACACTCCCAGCAGAGGTCCTGTCGAAGAATCTATTTAGTGGGTGAGATAGAGTAGCCTACGAGTATCAAAGTTTGCCGTTATTGCTGCTTGAAAGTGCGCGACAATGGCGCTAGGTTCTTGCAAAGTCAGCTTTGGCTGACTAATCTTAAGCATTTGGGATGATTTACGTTGCGCACATCCTATGACACACAACGTATTACTGACATACCCGGCTAATGGTCCGATTACGCTAGTTGTTGGTCGGTGGAGCAGATATATACACTGCGTTTCATAATTATAGGTCCACCCTAAATTTTTGCTACCCCAAAGTTGCTGTGCATTTTTTGGAAATGCTGCTATCACCGTTAGATTCCTCGTCATGGAAAACCCTCACAGTGTTTTTCTGACAAAGTTCCTCCCTCAAGTAACCCAATTAACTTTTTCTGAACGAATTTTCACCGTTTCGTGAATATCGGGCTACTCATAAAAAGTTCCCATTTCTCGTGATCAGTGAAGGAAATAAGGGAAGCGGGGATATATCTGAGCTCAGTCGACATCGAGTTTACCGTACCTCGTGTTACTCGCCTCTCTTCCCAGTAACAAGCTCAAGCCAGAGCACTTACTGAAGTGGGATGGCAAAGGAGCAAAATTTCCTCCCAAGCCGGCCGGCTCCTACGACCTAAGCAACTAAGTGCGAAATCCTGGTCAGTGCGGGGAGAAGAGTAGCTTAGGTAAATGAAGACCGCGTTTCCTTCAAGATTTAGGAGGAACTGGGCGTTTTCTCTCGAATTGTGTAAGGGGTCCGAACAAAGTTCGTGCTGAAATACGGCCTTCCGTGAGCAAAACCACCGTGTGGTGTGTACGTCAGCGAAGCAATACATCTTCAGCGGATTGATGAAGAGCGTTCCAAGATTATTTGAGCGCTTCAAGATCGCACGTCTCCATTTCAGCGTGGAAAAGGGCGCAACTTTATGAACGAAGGTTTGGCTGTTCAGACCCTTCGCGATCTTGGACTCTAGCTCCTTGTTTCGTGCTACAGGTGATCTGAGATCGACGTGAAAAAGTTTATTCTAGGTGGATCTGATAGAAAAAAAGCGTACGGGAGGGTTCCGTGGAAATCGTAGATGGTTTTGATGTAAGGTAATTTTGGCGAAGAATCCCTTATGGATTGAGGCTCTTTTGAACGACTGAGCGGCTAGAGCTCGTGTTTGTTTCCTTTCAAGAGGATTCCATAGGGTATCGTGAAGTTCTTCTGAAGCGACTGTTACCATCTTTCCGACAACAGCTCCCTCGAACCTTGATTTTTACGCACGATAACGCGGCTGTCCATGCCGGTCCTTCCACGCCAGATGGAATTGTGGGAAAAAATATGGCAGTTACCTGGTGGCCAACATGTTAGCTGAATCAGATTCCAATAGAGAATCATAAGGCCTTAATTGCTATAAAGTTCCACAGCAGAGAAAAGCAAAATGGAACAACCGAAGAGCTGAAAACGTCGATCATCAGCGCACAGACAAATTTCGATCCTACTGTAATAGCTAATTTGATTACCAGCATTCCAAAACGTATTATTGTGTTCCTTATGACTATGGGAGGACCATCCCATTGTTGAAAATTTGTGACGTTTTTTTGCTATAATAAAATCTCTCGAAAAGTGATCTGTAGTCATATTCGCGAAACGGTGAAAATACGCTCTAAAAAAGATATTTTAATTATTCTTAATCGAGATTTCTCCAAAAATCGAGTATCAAGGTTTTTCGTTATGGGGAAACTATTGGTAATAGCGGCATTTTCCAAAAATGCACAGCAACTTTGGAATAGCAAAAATTTAGGGTGGACCTATATTTATGAAACGCAGTGTATGTGTATAACTCGTCTGGCTCTGCTTCTTCCTGATTTCAAAGGAAGCCTTTGTTTAGGGGTTCATCGACGTTTTTCCACTTTTTTTAGCCAGCTCTGCATTCACGGTTTCATGATCAACCGCTGTGACCCCACATTCGATGTGGGGGAGGGGGGGGGGGGTTGATTGTATAAAATGATTTAAAAAAAAACTGCACATCCAAAATGTTGAGGTGTCAGATGGCACCGGCTGCTTTTAAGTGAGATTGGTAAATACTATGTAAGATTACCTCAATTTGAAGATGGGAAAGCAACCACTTTCAGATTAACTTGGGGATGGTAAGTGGTACACGAAAGAAGGGAGAATCATGAGAAACGGCCCAGAACCCGGAAAGTGAGACCGCTCCCTTGCCCCAGAGTTTATTTGCCGCAATTAAATCTTGCGCGGAAAAATCATGATTCTATTTCAGCCATAAATCACTGGCTTGAGACTCATTATCCACGATAATAGTGAAAAGAACTGAAGTATTGCTTTCGTTTTGATTAGAAATTCGAAAACTCGAAAAGGCTGCTACGCGTTCGAATTGCCCACGGACGTCTTTCACGAATGCTGGCGACGGGGATGCTCAAACTTGGTTCTTGGAGTGCATTCACTAGAAGCTCTTTCTGGCCTTCTGCTTCGTTGCATTCACATCTTACACTTCTACTCCATCCTATTCCATCGATCGATTTGTCTCCACTCTCCGAAATCGCGCGCTTTAACCCGATTCTCTCATTGCGTCGCCTGGTACGTAGCCGGCCAAACGCCGTCTTCTTTCCATGCCTCGCCTGGCTCTGCCTCCTGGTCCTTCGATGGTCCATAACGTGTAGTTTTTGTACGTTTGTTTCTCTTCAGAAACCGAATCTTCATGCGTGAAACTTTGTGTGCTATTTCCAGTGATCACAACTGACATATTCATGTTAGGAAAGAGTGCAAGAATTTTCCGCGCAAGATTCCTTTAATGCGACTCTCATTGTGCCCTCTTCAACACTACGCTCTCTCTGCTATCTAATCACTCGCCACGTATAGACCTGCGGCGAGTGATTAGATAGTCGGTGGGCGTACCCCGCCAACCGCGCCAAGAGTGAGCCATGCTAGGTCGCCGAGGTCAAATCTTTCGCTGCCAATTGCGCGTCAGTTCGCACCCTCAGGAGGTCCGCCGGTCTCTCAACTAGGTGAATTACTTCTTCTTCGACCTTCATTCTTATCACGAATCCTCCTTCAATGTTAGACATTCTGGCTGCATTGTAGCAAGACTAAAATGGAATGTGGTCGTTCTAAATTTGCTTTCTTTTTCTTTGCTCGATTGCAATCCTGTTGTGGATGAGTACGTTTTTACAGGTGAATGGCAAGCGATGGAAGATTATGTTTCTCAAATTAATGATAATACACAAGATGGCGCAATGCTGAGAGCTGTTCTAGCTGTGAAAAGGGATAACTACGACGTGGCGATCAATTATATTGATAAGGTTCTTTTTTTAACATCTACTATTTTCCTTTTTCGAATTCGCGATGATGGGCTCATTACAAGACGGTTTAGAAATCCCCAGCTTTAGTGCTACCGTAATCCACTTCTAGACAGCACTGAGGCGCTAACATGAGAGGTGGCAATCACCTGCCCTGCTCATTGGCTCCTAACTGCCAAATATTTCCAATGGATAGCAGCGCGCGATCCTTGCAGCTTGTCCGATTCTAGTGGCCCTTTTGCAGAACCCTCGAGAGGAGAGTGCCAGTGTAGGCGTTTCCAATGTTTACACTTGTTATTACCTTGAAAGTTGGCTTTCAGAGCCAGAAATGAGAAGGGTTGATAATGTGAGTTATGTGGTTTTTCCTGTTTTGGTATCTTCTGAGGTCACGGCAAATTCCGGGACAGTTCGACCCGGAATGGAGTTAGAGCTTTGATGCACTGCTGTATCTCTTCGACTCTTCTTGAGAGGACCTTCTGCTTCTTATACCCGGCATTCGTTACAATCTCTGCTGAAGTCAGCCAGCCTGATATTCTCCAAGCCCATAAATGTTTCATCGGGTTCAGAGCGATAAACTCTCGAAGGTGAAGTATTCGATGAAAAGGCAGCCCATTAAATCAAGGTAGAGGTGGTTAGTTCCGCAGGAATAAGAAAACAGTGAGAAACGGCCCAGGAAAATTGAAACTGGACCCTTTCTTTGCCCATTGATTTCCGCGTTGATGCGATTCTCATCGGTGCTGCCTCTCTTCAACGCTAACATTCTCTCTGCTAAACAGCTTGAGTCAGGCGGCAAGGGGATGGGCGGGCAGCGGCGCGGTATGGCTCCGCCAGGGCATACTCTTAAGGTGCGAAACAGCATCGGGGGGGGGGGGGCGCCTGCCTTTCGTACAGATATTTCCCCTTATCATGGAATCCCTACTACCGACTTCATCGCAGAATTCTCCTTCAAGGTTTATCTCAGTTGGGAACGATTCAGTATGATTTTCAGGTTCGCGACATGTACGACAGTGAACTGACAGCGATGGCAAGCGAGAGCTACGAGCGTGCTTATGGCGCGATGGTTTGCATTCAACAGCTTGCCGAGCTGGAAGAAGCTATCGAGTTCAAGGTTAATCGAGCCGTACCCCATCCGCCAAAGGATTAGGACCACCATAAGGCAAACTATTCAGATTCGACCAGAACGCCAGACGAGAATCGCTTTGTTGTGGAGTCGTCGACTTCAGGGATGCCGGCAAAATATTGAACAATGGCAGCGGTTGCTTATGCTGAGGTAAGCAAAGCTTCACATGTGCCAGTGGCCCGGATTACGTCTACATTTACAGATCGTTGGTGTTAACACCGCAAGAAATGCATCCGTTACGTGTGAAATTCTCCTCACTATGTCGTAAACAAGGGAAACACGTTATGTGCCGTGATGTGCTACGCGAACTGCTTGGACTCGAACCTGGTGCTCCACTCCATAAAGCCGTTGCTCCGAGTGATAAGCCACAGTTGGTAAGTGGGGCACACATCGAGCACCACCATGCCTCGTGTAAACTTTTCCAGGACCTCAGTAATCGCTGCCTTTATCACATTGCGTCCACACGAAAGGGCAGAGTATAATTTGATTAACATTTTTCAATGATCCTGAACTGCTAGTTCTCATTTTCAGAGCCGGAAAACCATAAGATTTAATCACTAATGGAATTGTTAACAGGTTGATGATTATTCATTGGAAAAAAAGATACGGAGATACTCGTACAACGGGCGGTCCCTAATGTGTTAAGGAGATTAGAATAACGGCGTCGCATTTTGCGGATTAGGCTTTCATCTTACATTTTTGCTAGTCGATGTAAATCTAATGGACGGGTGGGCAATCAAAAATGTCTGGTTGCTAAAGTCGCTAATCGAACGAAGAAAGGCGTTTAGTGAGTGGGAATGGGCAGAAAGAAAGTTAATAGGATGAATTTTGAGATGTTCAGGCCCTGCCGTCCTTTTTTTCTCCTTCCGTATTACTTTCTAATAGACTCATCATTAATTTGGATTAGTGCAGGTGTTGGCATTGTGCAAACAGCTGTGGATGGATGATTACCGTAATGAAGCTGTGCGAACATTGGAAGCTCTCGTTAACCACCTTGATCGTCTTCCTCCGAACCACACACCAGAAGCTGCGCGATTGTGTGCAAAAGTGGGTGCTACTAAAACTTTTATGTGAGCTCTCCTCGTGTGACTTTCGCGAAAGAAGTGTAAGCAGAAAACATTGCAGGCTTGTTTGAAACTGGGTGAATGGACAGAGATCTTGGCTGAAAGTGCTCCGACAACGAGCGGTGGCGCTTCGTTCTCCCATAATGGCAGTCCACATCGGTCGTTGTTTGGTGGGTCGCCAATTACCGACGAGCAGACAGCTACAGAGCAAGTTATTCGACATTATGCGAGA